AAGTGATTTATATTGAGACATAGTATTCTACCGTTTATTTTATTTGCAGTGAAGAGCAACTATTGTGATGAGTACATACATGGCTATTATAAATTGAAACGTTATATTAACTAGTAATCACATGTACATGTAATTTTCTATGAGAACGTACATGGTCCAAGAGACTATCTACTTCTCTTTCTTACTCTCTCATTGTCCCAACCCACGCCTCTCAGATATTCCCTAATATGATTTCGTTCCTTTAAATAAAGAACGTTATCCTTTCTCTACGCGTAGTAATCTGCATTCCATTTTATGTTCTTCTTTCATAGCTCCTGGAACAAGTACAACATTAACATCATCAAGTACAGGTAAATCTAATTTTTACTTATCACTCAATTTATTTTTCTCCAAAATGAGTTAAAATCATTAATCTTGAGGGATAAATGACAGGCGTCAACATCCAACTCGACGTAAACATCTGTATAATGTAGCCAGTTGCCCTCAAAGCACATGATTATTCTTGGATTCAGATATCTCATACTGTGATTCAGATGTAAATTTCCCATGATGAACAAACGTTCAGCAGATCATATTGCTAGGAGTAGATTGCACAACACAAGATTGCAGATTAATAAATATCACAGGTGCATATGCGTAAAAAGTAGTCCATGATATATAAAGAGTAGAAACTTTGTTTTCAGGTATGGATGAGATTGTGGTCTTAACAATCCTTAGAATATTGATGATCTGGAGAAAGAAGGGAAAATTTTTACGTCAGATATGAAAATATGAAAACTTTCTATACTGACTCTACGCCTATGTCTTTGCATTCCAAACACATTTGCGAGGCTAGATATCTCATCATTGTAATTAATAGCCATTTATGCCTGTCCCCATATGTTTATATGACAGAGAAATATTAATATTCTCTCTCTCTCTCTCTCTCTCTCTCTCTCTCTCTCTCTCTCTCTCTCTCTCTCTCTCTCTCTCTCTCTCTCATCTACTCACGTGCTTCATTCCTGGTGTTTTACACTCTTTTTATAGGCGGCATTTTTCTTCTCACAATGTGTACCAATATTTCGTCTATTTTCTTTCCTTCTTTATTGCTCCAGTAACAGGTACAACACAGCATCGTCAACTAAAAGTGAATATCTATTTTACTCTTTTTACATTTATTTTTCTCGTGTTCAAATGAAGTTTCGTACGTTACCTGATCACTTGGCAAGCACTTTCAGACGTACAATAATCATCATATACATTAAACCATTTTCCACTGACATCTCTGCAGCTGGCTTTGAATTACAACCCACTATATATAGTTTGATAATTTTATTAATATTGTTCAGCGCAATCACTTGCAGTATTCAAATATGAGATCTTGAATTCTTTTCTAATTTTGGTCAGGAGGAATAATTTCCGAAACGTGCATAATATGGTTAGTGTAAAAATTACCGATTCAACAGCAAACATTGGCACAGGTTGAGTATATTACTAATGTGAAATATGTAAATTTCCTACACATTCTCGCTTGATGCATGCTACAAGAATTATCTCCCTTACATCTAACGATAACCTTTAAATGGCTGTCAGCGGTATATAATCACTGACCAAACGTCTTATTTCACTCGCTTAAAATATGCTAACTTCTCGTTCCTTTTATTTCCTTTTTCAGCTTTTCACGAAATAAACATCACTTGCCTCATCTCACACAGACCCAGATATTTTCTTTCCGTTCTTCTCTTTTAATTTCTATTCCCATGACAAGCACTTAGAAAGAGTTGCCATTCCTCGTACATATAGAATCTGGACGCCATAGTTTACAATACTGAAGCTGTTGGTTGGCGTTCCATGCGTAGGAAAGAAATATATTAACTTGCCTGTGCTGGTATGTTACTAAGTCAATTTCCAGTTTGAAACTTATTCATGCTTTGTATTAGGTGCTGGATATTCATATCTACATATATATCTTAATCTCATGACACATGTTAATAATGTCTGGAACTCTCATGGGTTTGAAAACAGTGGATCAATATATGTTTAATGCTGTACACGTCCTTTCACCTCTATCTTGTTATATTCAAGCTCCTTTCACGACTAAGAATGAGAACCAAAGTATACCAATTAAGATACCGAACTAATATATCTCTTCATTTAATCGTCATTTGCGTATATTGTTGTTTCTCTCATATGCACAAATTTTTCTTTGAGGATTTACCTTACGTATTAGCCCCTCTCTTTCTTTGTATGATTCTCTAGCCCTTTTCCTCCGGCCACTCTAATATTCCCTAATATTATTTCGTTGCTTGAAATAATGTTATTTACCCTTTCTCTACGTCTAACAATCTATATTCCATTTTACTTCTTCATAGCTCCTGGAACAAGTACAACATTAACATCATCGATTGCAAGTAAGTCAAATTTTCACTTATAACTCAATTTATGTTTCTCCAAATGAGTTAAAGTTGTTTTATTTTCTTTTTTAGTTCCTGTAATCATTCTAAAATTGACAATAAACACCACGTGATTTGGTCAGTCCCCATTCACATATGTCTATCGGCAACTAAACTAGAACCGAATATATTGTGTGGTTTTCTAATTATGATGGGGGAACACAGTCCTATACAGTATTGGCTGCTCTCTAATTCTGTAAAGGCAAGGAATCAGTGCAAACTAAGTAAAACGACTGGGGACAATATCAATAATTCAACTAGTACGTCGTGAAAATGGAGGATGCTGATCTTAATCATGTTTACTATACTTTCTCGCCTAATGTTTGGATGTTCAATACAGTCATGGGTGCAACGTTGAACAAGAGATTAAATATAACAAACATTCTCTCTTTAGTTCCTGTTATGATTCTAAACTTGGTTATAAACACAATGTGGATTGATGAGTTCTTTTTCACAAGTGTTTATTTGAAACTGAACTACAACCCAATTTATTGTCAAGTGTTCTAATGATACTGGTGTGCACAGATCTTTACAGCATTCAGGAAGCTATGTCTTTTGTAATGGATGATGTACATAATTTACCGATCATTAGAATATTGAGCATCTGGAGAAATTAGGCGAGATTCTACATTACATAGATAGGAAAATACAAAAATTTTGTTTACTTACGCTACATTATTGTATATGCATTCCATCGAAACTTGCCCAGATAGCTATCTCAGCATTTTAATACCCATGTTTGTCTGTGATATACCTTTGGCTCAGTAAAATACTATTCTCTATGTTATGCGAGTCTCTCTCTCTCTCTCTCTCTCTCTCTCTCTCTCTCTCTCTCTCTCTCTCTCTCTCTCTCTCTCTCTCTCTCTCTCTCTCTCTCTCTCTCTCTCTCTCACAGAAAGGCATAATTTGCGTTTTGAATGTATTTACGGTTGTCTGCCTTAAATTGTTTTACAGATGCGCCCATATAACGTAGTTTCGCATGTATATGCAATTCTGATCATTGAGTATGTCATTGTGTAAAAATCAATGCGGAATGTAATAGGAAAGAGTTCTTATTTGAATGTTTTGTTCTAAGTCACAGTTTATTAGTGGCTTGAATTCGCATAAGTTTAGAAACAGTGGATCGACTGATTTACTTAAAAATACATTTTTTCCTACAACCTTTATTGTTCATTATTGTTCGTTTATTTAAACACCGGAAACGGGAAACGACTAAGAAATACAACGAAACTACAACAGGTGAAGGATTAAAGGTTTTATATCTCTTCAACCGATCGTCCGTTCTTCACCAGCACATAAGTCCTTTTTGTAATTACCTCTCCGACTTTTTTTAATCCCTTGCCTAGCAATTTTAACTGACAGCATTTACATCCTTATCAAAATAAATGCAGTCTTTTACTTTCCTTAAATATTTTGTATCATTTACATGTTTTAATGAAACTAGATTTTTATTATCATTGCTATTTCTTATCAGTTTCCATTAGAAAATAATCTCAATACATCGTGGAACAGATGCGAAAGGGAAAGAATCGCCCTATAAAAGCTGTTGAGCGATCCGGGAAGGTAACCTTTCGCACCACGGCCATAGGTCATGCCCTTTCGAGTTGAGCTTTTAGAATAAAAGATCTCTGAGATCTGGAGATGTATTCTCCGATCTCCATCTCACATCATAAATATTAGTATACTTTGGTGAAAGCTTAACTGTGTAATATTGTCAAATATGGCTAATAACAGAGAATAGTTTTGCTCATAAGCAAAGTTTGTATCGACTGTCCTAATTTCTTGAACTAAAATGCTTAGCGGTTTCGTTGGCAAGAGGCTATTTATAATACGCAGAACCACTGTATCCAGGACTAAAGTGTTTGTGTTGGTATATCGTGTTTTCCTTCGTGTGTGTGTGTGTGTGTGTGTGTGTGTGTGTGTGTGTGTGTGTGTGTGTGTGTGTGTGATTTAGATGTTTACCACAAGTAATGGTCTCAATGTTTTCTGTCTCTTTAATTCAAGTCCATTCGACATTAGCACACATGCCCTTCAATGATATCCAAATTTCTTTCAGGTAAGAAACGATTTCTACATTCTTTTGACACATTTCTATACTTAAACGTTTCCCTTGTGCCTTCGAATATAACTTTGACATAAATAATTACCCTACCAGGTAACTATCTTTCATTACACATATCAGGGCGTTGTCTAGATTAATATTTTCAGCATTTTTCCCATGTCTAATTGGAGTTACACCATTGACCGCTGAACTGAAGGCTTTTACTAAATTAATTTCTTAGTGTAACAGAAAGCGTACATATCAGTGTGTGCGTTTGCGTGTGCGTGTGCGTGCGTGTGTATGTGATTTAGATGTTTAACGTAGCTTTGACATATTTTTTAGTCATGTCTGAAGTGTGACAGTTTATAATGATATCGAGCACTGGGATATCATGTCGCAGACATGAGGCATAATGTCCCATTTAGTCACATTATTCTGACACCAGGTCGACCAGCCCTAACATAAACCTCGTAATTCTGAGCTCTAAGCGAGGCAGCTATTAGCACCGTTTTAAACGTTTTTAGCATTACTCAGCCGAGGTTCGAATCTGCGACCTTCCGCATCTGAGACGGACACTCTATCCGCTAGGCCACCGGAGCGGTCGTACATATTTGAAGAAATATGAACATATTTATCATGATGTACTAGCAATTTGCCCAAAGGATCAATTCCGTATGGTTAACATATTGATGGACTGACTCATTAAATGGGGAGGGAGGATTAACATATATAGGCGTATAATAATTGAAAGTGTTTGTCGTTTTGTTTGCTACTATATTTCCAATTCTTTTTTTTTTGTTCTGATGATAAACACACAATTTTGCAGGTGTCACTTTTGAGCTGTCGAGAAGCGATGTGTATATTGGAGATAATGATGTACAAATGACCTGCAATGTATTAAATTATAACGGCCTCACAAGAGTTGAAATTTATCAGGAGTTACAAAGTATCGCCAGCATCACGTCAAGTAATAGAATGGTAAACACGAGTAGAGTGACATTAAAAGAAGGAAATATAGCTACGAGTTTTGCAATCGTGCGTCTTGGCTTCAGCAACCAAGTCAGCTGCTGGGACAAAGGACGATACTATTGCATTGTGACGGGATACCAGATCTCAAATGTGACACTACAGTTAGATCTGCTTAGTAAGTTTTGAAATGCACGAATTATATATACATATATATATATATATATATATATATATATATATATATATATATATATATATATATATATATATATATATATACATATACATATATACATATATATATATATATATATATATATATATATATATATATATATATATATATATATTCCATCAGCACAATAGGTTTTTTAAAAGTTTCTTTCTATAGCGACCTACGATGTTGCCAGAGTGTATAGTCCATTTTTCAATAGCGAAGATCATTGATCCACCTCCTTTTTGTCTGATTTGGAAATAATGTTACAAACTAAGATGACCTGCTATGTTTGGAATCACCACACAAGAACTGATGAAGGTTTGATGATATTTCTTGAAGATATATATATATATATATATATATATATATATATATATATATATATATATATATATATATATATATATATATATATATATATATATATATATATATATATATATATATATATATATATATATCACATGTTTAGTATTCATTATGCAATTTTTCTACGCTTTTCGAGCTCTCAAGACAGAACTTGTGTCCATCTTTAATTTAATCTGTTGCTCTTAGCGTCATATGACCATGACATTGCATAAGATATCATCGGATCATGTTTCTGATGAATACGTACAATAATTTACGAAGGTACTTTTGCTCGTAAAACATGTCATATGCTTTGTGACACTAGGGCTAGGGCTAGGGCTAGACACTTGCAATCTGAACATCTAATCGGAAATTTTATAATTGACTGCAGTTGCAGATTTTAATCAGAAGGTACAGGTGGTGGGATTTCTTGTTTTTAATATGGAATGATGCAGAAAATTCTTAATTTATGTACACTGGAAGCCCATTCAGACTCAATACTAATACCCAGAATCTAGAATATATATATATATATATATATATATATATATATATATATATATATATATATATATATATATATATATATATATATATATATATATATATATATATATGAAGAGAATACAAATAATATGTCTTTAATAACCATTATTTAATTTGATCCGGAAAGGGATCGCGTGTGTAAGGGAATGATTAAAATGAATACAATATACTGACAAAGCGCAGTGCAAAACTAGTTGCTAAGTGGCGTAGGTGCTTGAGATTCTAATTAAGTCATTTTTAAAGGAAAGCAAAACTATTTCTACTGGAACTAAACTTTGAAACTTTTGAGCTTTTCACTTTTGAATAAGACAGCGTTGCCATACTATTGTTTTGACAATTTGGTGAAGATAAAAAGGAAAGAAAAAAGAACTGGAAACATATACATTAAAAGGACATAAAATACAAGACTGAAAAGTGGGATAGATCACACGAAAGTTGTGTCGAGCAATGTGAGGTTGATAATATAAAGAATACGAGTCAGATGGATGGCGAATTTCATTTCAAAGAAACTGGATCGCAATGGGGTCGTTTGTCCCAGGGATTGATTAAGATAAATGCAATAAACTGATAGCAAACAGTACAAAGCTAGTTTCTAACTGGCATACGACTCTGAACATTTTTTTTAAAAATAAATACACAGAAAATAGACAAGACGAATAGAAGCACAAAACAAGATTGAACAGCACGACCAACGTTTGGTGTGATCTAAAGACTTTTAAGTCTTGTATTTTATGTCCCTTTAATGTATACATTTTCATTTGTATTCTTATCTTCACAAAATTTCTGAATAAGTCGCATGCAGATGATGTATCATTCGAAACAGAAAGCATTCAAAATAATTTCAAGCTATTATTCTAAATAGATAAACATCTTAAAAGAGAATACGTGCATGGAGTGATGTATTCTTAGCTAATGATAACGCATTTGACATCTCGTACATTACATTCTAGTTCACTTTCTAAAACAGAAGGGAAAAAATAGCTGGGATAGACGCATGATGGTTGGGATATTTAAATCTGTCTTTTTGTGTTTTTAAAGCACATTAATTAAGGTAATAGAAGAGATACTAAATGCCATAGTCTGCAAGAAATGACAGACAAATATGGAGAAGTAATTTAATTCAAAGAACCAATCCATATATTATTTAGAAACTAGTTAATTGCTCATTTTCTATTCGATTGTTTCCCGCAACAGGAAAGCCAAGTACACCAACGCTAATCTTATCCAGAGAAATAGTAGAGGGAAAGAACACCAGAGATGACCTACCTTTCATATGTGAAGGAAATGTGGGTTTCCCAGCGGGAAACCTTGTGCTTCAATCTAACTTCACAAGTAACTTTAATCCAGTCATCAGGAATATCAACACCACAATTTCAAATGAGACCTGTCAAGCGTATCAAATGATCACTTTTGCCTATGCTTTCTCGTCAAACTGGCATGACAAGGAAATTCTCTGTTCTGCAGTCAACAATAGAAGTTTAGGACAAAACGCAACGCCACCTTTCGATAAACAGTTAGTAAAAGTTATACCAGGTTAGTAGGCCATATGACATACGGGGTTTCGTATACAGGAATTTTACTGCCCCTAACTAACCTGTCCTTTCCTACGGAAGCCTTGGTGGTGTGTTGCTGTCGTCAGATTTTCCGTCACAGTGCTTTAAAATTGTTTTACGTAATTCTTCAATATCTTTTCAAGACTTATAATATACACGTGCATGTAATGATGAAATATGATGATTATTATTTGCTAGATCTTCTGGAGCCTCACGAAGGGTAAAAATGTAATTATAAAATGTTAAATTTTGTGGGGTTTTATTAAGGATTATATTTGTTGTATTGTTTATTTTTAAATATTTTTTCACACAGCAACTTATATATGCAAGCATTAGAATTAACCACATAAACATTAACATAAAATAAGACAGATTCTTAATCGGTATCCTTTGTCGTGTGATCATAGTCATGATTTTTTAAGAGAGTTAACAGCTCACTTGATAAGGTAGAATGGTAGGCCTGATGTTTTTAAATCATATTCACGTATGTTATTATCTTATTTGAAAGGTTTCCGTCAAAAACACCGATAAGTTTTCTTTACATCATATTGCACATATGGAAAGTGTGATCAGTTTTACTGGTGTCGAAATCGTTCCAGTTTTAAAATAGTGTAGAGTATAATTATGTTTCTATTTTATTACTTGTAGGTAAAGAATCAAATTTATATCCAAAATCGGCACTTTTGGACTGCAAGAATGTTGATTTTCTGAGAAAGGCTATCATTTATTATCAGCAACAATTTCGTCGAAACAGTCACAATAATCAGATTGCTCAGGCAGAATATCGTATCATGAACTGGGCACTCATACATTTCGCAAAGTGAAATTGAAATTTTTTTTATGTTAGGTATGTTATCTTTAAAGCTGTTTCCTTTCCTCATGATGCCTCTTCTATCTTGATCTTCATTTAAGCTACCTACTGTCTGAATCTTCATTTAAGCTACCTACTGTCTGAATCTTCATTTAAGCTACCTACTGTCTGAATCTTCATTTAAGCTACCTACTGTCTGAATCTTCATTTAAGCTACCTACTGTCTGAATCTTCATTTAAGCTACCTACTGTCTGAATCTTCATTTAAGCTACCTACTGTCTGAATCTTAATTTAAGCTACCTACTGTCTGAATCGACAACGCCGTCTGTATTACCATCCATACAACTGCTACAACTTTATCGACTGCGTAAATGGAAATGTGAATGTAAATTTGTGTCCAGCCAATCTGTGTTTCAGTGTCAGCGAAACGGAAGGATGCAACTATTGTAACTGGTCGCTATGTGTTCCTAATATCACTGGTACGTTAATATTTGATATTATTTTTCTTCGCATACATAAAGGCAGCATAATATAAGACTTTAATTCACTTTCTACCATCACCTAGATAAGGCAGATCTTTCAGCTGGCAAGGAATACATTAATCCCATTAACACATATATACTAAATGAACACTGGTTGTTTGCAAGAATTATCACAGAAAATAAATAAATGTTAAGTTCTTAGAAGTAAAGCTTGTCTTTTTTCTTTCAAGTTGTTTTCGTTAATGTTTGTGTCAAATCTGCTCATCTGTATAAGATAAGTTCAAGGCTTGGTCAAAAAAGTTATGCAACGGGTTTGACCATAGCACATTGACGGCAAAAGACCGATTAGAAAGTACCTTATTTTGACACCTCTTAGCTGAGGAAACATTTACATTTATCTTTTGTTGCAATCATATCGCGAATATACTGAACTTGAGAAGTATTAAATATAGCTTGAATTAGTTTTCGATTGATATTCAAAAGTCAGAAATGAACTAAAATTTTAGTTACACAATATCTCATTACTAAAGACTGAAATTCTATTGGCTATATACGATAATAAGCCTGAACCAGATACGTCTATTTTGCAGCTACAATATGTCCCGGTTCTGATGCAGAAGCATTGCGTTTCCCTGGTCTCAGATGTAGCATGTACGTGAACTGCACGGACAA